GCATCCTTTCTCCTCGTGGCGTGTACACGCACGCATAGCAACATCCAAAACTCGTTTCGGGTACAAGCGAAAAACTAGATTGGCATACTTTTGTAACCAACGCTTTAGGAGCCCAAAGCAAGGTTCTATAGGATTCAGTTGTGAACAATATGGCGGCAGGAAAATCAGTCGAGCGCCACACTGGTGAATTGCGTCTTGTAACTCAGGATACGCATGGATCTTGGCATTATCCATAATCACAATGGAACGAGGTAATGGCCACGAGTTCAGATGCGGGATGATGTTCTTTACAAATGCAGCGTGAAACCTCTCTCTTGTGAACGTGCCCTCAGTTGATTCCCACGCAAAAAAACCGTGCACATCAAGTGCAGCCAAAATTGAGAGTATTTTGCCCCGGCGAAATGGAAGCTTGACGACTGCACGAGTGTTTCTCTTCGACCAGCCATATCGCCGCTCAGCGTGACGCCCATCTTTTGCTGTCTCGTCCAAAAAAACGAGTTGCTCAGCAAACGAAAAAATAGGGAGCAACTTTGAACGGTAAGCTTCAATTTCTGCCGGCACCGCTTCTCGAGCTGCCTTTGACAGAACTTTTCGGCTGAGATTAAGATCAAAATTGAGGACTCTGCAAATTGTTGCTGTCGAGATCGTATTAATACCTGGAAAGTTCTTGATAACAAACTCGCGGAGCTCTTCAATGTAGAAAGTCGGGTGTGCGTTAACGTAGGTTTCTACAGCGGATAAAACTTCAGGAGGCCATCGTGCAGTGGTCTGGCGAGAGTGGTCCTCGTTGACAACGCCCTTTTTCATGAAAAGAGCATACCAGCGTCGAAGTGCTCCCTGCTTTGGTCCGAACAGCTCGGACACGTAGGCGGTTGAGATGTTGTAGACGTGCATGAGAGCCACAGCACGCCACCGGAAGTCATCGCCGTAGGTCATCGAGAAGCTGCCAATGTACAAATGACCTGCACGATGAATGGTCTGCTGGTTGAACGCAAGCCACTTCGTTTTGCGGCTAAAAAGTGGCAAAAGTGGCAGTTGCGCTCTAAAGCTGAGCTCCATACACCTCACAAATCCTAATATCATATCATTTTAATTTTGTATGCTCGCCAAATCGGGACCATTTGCTAAATCGGGCTCCTATCTCAATCGAAGGTCTCTGCTTTGCCAAAATGAATGAAAACCACAACAACACTTATTGTATACTTAAGTATTTCAATGCTTTTGTCCTTTTCACCTAGCCTGATGCTTGATTTATAATAAATAGAGGTCGTTTTATTAAATCGAGGTATATAAAAAGTACAAATCGATTGGCTGCTACGGCAGCCAAATCGACCGTTCGGCCACATCGATATCCTGTAAATCGACCCTTTTTGCCGTTTTGAAAAGGTAATTCGATCACAGATAAAACAAATCGATGCCTGCGTCTTCCCATCTCTTTTTTACACGTGGTTTTATGCTTCGATCATGCCTATAAAACGGATCTGCAAAGCACAATAATATTTGAACTCCAAATTTATCCATTTAAATAATTTTATAGGAGTAGCAGATAAATTACCCGTATGACGCTACCGGCGTTGCTGTGAATACATCCACCAGCACAACAAGCACTCAGTAAAGATGGACTTGCACAGAAGTGCTGGCGAAGTGATGCGGAATATTGACAATCGCATGTATTTTTCTCAAAAAGATACACGGCTCGTATTCTTCTGGCTCAATATTATTTTGTTCTTGAAATACCGGTTGTCTATTAAAATTTGTATACATGTACTGACAGCAACACGCTTACATACGGTACATCGAGGAAACCGATATCTGCATGCTCGGCATTTAGAAGTTGTAGCGCGATCGGACGCGGTCGAGGACACGACGCAGCATCCAGCCGTCGCTTGGTGTGATTGTAGTGGAGCTGTACGCCATCATAATCGAGTTGGGGAAGTCCTTGGACGGCTTGGTCTCAAGTCCGTAAAAGTCCGGCAAACCGAAGCCGTGGCCGATCTCGTGGCCGATAAACATAATGTTCTCGTCGTAAAGGTTGTCCATGGTGTCGTTAAGACTCACCTCCTGGCCCCAGTCGTAGCCAAAGCCGTAAGGGATCTTGTCATTCAGCCAAAACGAGACATCGAACGGCTCACCCGTGCAGGAGCTCGTGTCCGACCATCGGTTGTTCACGTTGTCATAGAAGCGATAGCACTCATCGGGGCACTGCGGTACGCCTTCCGAGTCGACGCTGCCCTCGTAGACAGGGCCAAGCGAGTCGTCGGTCCATTCGAACTGCGCCTTGTCCTTGGCAGCCCACCACACCATGTGGACCTTGAGCTTCTTGAACGGCCAGCAGTTGTAGCCTTCCAGCCATTTGTTCCACTTGTTGTAGTGACGTTCCAAGATACCCTGAAACTTTGATGCGACGCTCTTCTCCAGGTTTGTACTGCTGTCCCAACGCACACAGTAGTTGATTGAACCTTTGTATGTACGAGCTTGTCCATGGAGGAAATTCCTGCTGG